CAGCCTGCCCTGAGGTCAAGGTTGACTCTGGTGGTGTCAGTGGTGGGGAGGGTGGGGGGTGGGGCTTGAGGTCTTCCTATGAGAAGTCTGAGTGCAAAATGATATGGGATAGGAAGAATTAATGTTGAATTGTTTGACCAATCTTGCATACCTATACTTGGTCATCTGAGCAACAGATTTGACAATGACAATACATAATATAATAGCCATTGTTAATTTTCTATTTTTGTTTTGAAATTCTGTACCATTTGGATTGTTGTATGTGGTTTTGTCTCTGCCTTTTTGCTTTTCCTCTTTAAAATAAAATAAATAAATGAAAAAACAGTGATATGGGTTGTGCATAAGTGCAGTAGGAGCCTTGGTGGCAGAAGATGACGTCACAGAAGTAAACACCCTCGCAGCCTGATATACGGATGGAACCTAAATCCCTCCAGTAAAAATGCTCATGGAAAAGTGACAGGCTGAATTTTCCCATCTTCCTCCCCTTTTCCTATATAGTCTGATAGTTGCCCCAAACGCTGTGCTGAGAATAGGCCCTTTCGCTCAATGGTGGGACACCGGGACAGTAACTTACCAGACACAGGTGGCTGGTCACTGGAGGAGCTCCCAGGTCCAGTGCCTCCCCTGGAGGAGCCGGGAAGCCTTACTTCATCCCCATCCTGGGATGTGTCGGCCCCCTCTGCCCTGCCAGCTGCCTCCTCAGTGGGGAGGCCCATGCCATATGCACACTGAGGCAGGTGTCCACATTTCAGGGAACTCATGAGGGGTTCAGGGTCCACCCCAGCAAGATTCCCACAGCCTGTGCAGTTGTCTGCCAAGTTGGCACTGGCTGCCCAATGTGGGCCACTGCCATCTTCCACCTCTTTTTGTGAATATTTTTCAGGGGACTCAGGACTCCAGTCAGTCCTATATGGGGGCTTCATGAAACTGCAGCTTTCTGGATCCACTGTGTTCTCAGTTTCTGTGAAGCACTGGCTTAAACTGTCATTCTCCCCCACCTCCAGGGGTTCTGAGAAAGGGGGCGTGGACTTGCTTCTGGCCTGCGTCTGGAACAGTGAACAGCCTGGGGATGGCGAGGGCCTGTCCATGTACTCGTCTTCCATGGGAATCTGCCTGAAGGGGTCCCCCTCTATCTCAACCAAGGAGAAGGTCCCTGCCGCTTCACCCTGTGCACAGGGCCCGGCTCCTGCACATGCACCCCTGAAGACACCAGCGCCATCCAGAAAGCATATATCTTGTGGAATCATCTTCTCCTCCACAGTCAGCAGTAAGACACCCTCACTCACTTCATGCTGAGGGGAGGCTGCCAAGTGAGCACCGTCACAACTGTCACCCGAGGACTCCTGCAGACAGAAGTTCAGGAGGCAAGGGCATCAGTACCCAGACCTATCAGAACATATTCAGCTAAACATTGCTAACAACAGTGTTTATCCTAATTATTTCCACCATGACATGTACAAATGGCACATTCGCCACAGCATCTTATTTGTTCTATTTAAAATTAGAGTGCAGGAGAGCCGTACGATAGAAACCAACCATAAATTAATCAATTTTATTGCATTTCAAAGGAATAGCATATTTATTCACTCCTGTGCAAGGAATGATTTTTGTGTGTTGTGTTTTGTTTTGTTTTTAGACAGTGTCTCGCCATGTAGTTAAGG